TGAGCTTTTTACATACAATGCACAGCTGGGATATAAAGAGCCTTTTGAAAAGGAGGCTTGGCAGCTTTCCCAGAGGCAACGGAAGGGTCCATTTGTGCCTTACCTGGGATTAATTCTTTTCCGTTTGTGCTTGCAGTGGAGGGGTTTGAGCCCAGCACTAACAAAACCCATTTTGTTGTGCAGTTCATTGACTCTAACTGTAACTCCAACGTCTGGGGTTTCCCTCCCTTTCCAACTGTTTGACTAATATTATGTGTATGCTGCTTAACCATCTAGGAGTGACCATCTGAAGTGGTGTTTATTTAGTCTTGAGGCATTTGGTGAAAATGAATTATGCAAGAGGAAAGTAATGGGAGCACCTGTGCAAGGGAGGAGATGGTTCTGAGATGGAAAAGAAGGTCTCAGAGTTTGAGTGTTCAGGGATGGGGGACAGCAAAAAGCCCTCTCTGTTACTTCATTCTTTATCATCTTTTTCTGGGAAAGGGGAGCATGAATAGAGGACTAATTCAAGGATATCCCAGCATGTCATGGATGAGTCTTCAGTGGGCTCAGGGTATCCTGAGACTACCACTGCTGGAACAGCTGCTGGGGACTGCATGTGAGATGGGTGACTGGAAACAGCACTTCTGCCACTCTGCATTTAGCAGAGAAATGGGTCCCCTGAGCATCCTTAGGACCAGAGAGAGAAGATACATTTGCAAGTGCCCCTGTTCTCTGAGCAGTGTGGTTTGGTTTCTCAGCTTGCTGGGGAGATGTGTATTAACAGGCAAACACCAAGCCTGGAAGAGTAAGTGTTACTTTTTCTGCCTTCATGTGGTGAACTTCTGGCTTTTGGGCTTTGTGGTAGAGAAATTTGAGGGCCTGGCAGACTTAGGTTAAAACAGCATTAATGGAGCTGAGCTGGTGAGTGTAGCATCAGTAGAAGAAAACCCCAAAATACTGTTTGGCATTTCAGAGGTAAAGAAAAAAAGCCTGACTTGTTACCTTGTTAAGAGGTTAGCCTTGTAGAGGGCAGCCACGTGGAGGTGGTAGGGTGGCTGTAGGCTGGTAAGAGCTAAGCTGTGGGGTTTGAGCAGTCTGCAACACACATTTTACCCTGCAGAGTTTGGGCTATAGACACATGTCTTGCACAGGCACTGGAGAATATTGACTAGGCCTTTCCCGGTTGTGTCCAGTACCTTGTAGGAACACATCCCAGAATGGTTATGCTGCATTGATCTGTGTAAACGGGAATGGAGGAAGCCCTCTCAGGGTATGTGCTGAAGCCTGGAGGAGACTTGCCTGAATCCCACAAAAGACCTTTGTCACATGGACATTCAGAACAAAATATCCCTGCACTTCCCACCCAAGTCTTCACCTCTTCTCAGATCAATCAACAAGGCGTCTCTGGTCCAACAACTTGAAAGCCTCCAGCTTTGCTTCAAAAGAATTAATAAATTCCCCTCACAGTTCAAGTGCATTCAGCAGGACTGGGGAATTCCTTTAGATCTCTGCTGAAGAATGCTTTTAAGTCAGGGGACTGCTTGTATCTGCAAAGTAAAGTTGCTTGCTCACCAACCAGCTCTCTGCTGGAAGCACCATCTCCCTCAGAAGGCTCGCTGTTGTTCCCTGTTCTCTGTTCCCTATCTGTAAACTACCCCATGGCTAGGTAAATATTTTTATTATATCCTGTGCCAAGCATTTTTCCCCCTCCCACAGAAGTTGTGCGTTGGCTCCCTTGGAGTGCAAATGAACACACCCATATCTAAAGGGAGGCTGGCCTCACTCCAGGTGCCAGCCTCACACATCCTGGCACAATGTTTACCAACATCAAACTGTAGCAAGAAAACAAACTTTGGTTTGCTCCTCCAGTGTTAATCTTGCCGCCCACAACTGCGGCAGTGAGCTCTTGCAGCTGGGCTTTCACAGTTGGGTTGATAGGATGAAAGGATAAACAGGGAAGAATTACCCATCTTGGTAAGCTTAAATGGGAACTTCTGAGCACCTCAGTGTGGGTACCCGAGTGCCAGGCATATTGTGAAGGTGAAGGTTGAATAGGCTGAATGTGTCCTCCTGTCTTCCCAAGCAATGCTTGAACCCCAGGTCATGGACTTCTTCAGTTGTAGCCAGCCACTTCACAGGCAGCTCAAGTCCTCCAAGAGCAGGATTTGGCTTAAAAAAGCCAATTTTCCCCCAGCCATCCAGTTGCAGATAAAGTATCCCTTTTCTCTCTCCTGTTTCTGCCTGGTTTATTGGTAAAAGTCAGCAGAGGCACTGTGGGGAGCAGATCCAGGGCCACAGCCCTGTGGGCTTGGCTATGTTCTGGGGATGTGGGAAGCAAATTTGGTGTGCTGTAATAGTTTACCAATCCCCACCCTTGCTTCTGTTTGTTAGCAATGGCTCTAAATAAGAGCATGCTTCAACTTTCTTGCTGAGCACATTTTTTGGCATTTGGATTGCATGAGATGGAAGTATTTAATGTTATCAATAGAAACCAAAAGTCTCCAGCCTCCTCTCTGCCAAATGAGGTCAGTGTTCTGCACTGGAGGTCTGAAGCCACTGTCTGTCTGATGACCCTCTTTCTTTGAAGTGTCCATCCTAAGGTCTCTTTTTCTTATTGTTGCATCTCTGTTCCATGTCTTGGGGTTTTAAAGCATCTCTCATGTGAATGTATAATGTTTTGAGCTAATTAGAGCTTAGTTTACACCATTTTTTTCACAGGCTTGTGGGCAAAGTGTTTTTTTAATGGGTTTGTATCTGCATACTACAGAGTTGATGACCCAGAGAGCTGGCAGCCCCTCGCCTCTGTAGGAAGGCTCCCATGGGATTGTCTGCAGACAGGACTGGTCCTTTATGTGTGTTGGACCTACTAATAGGGATCCCCTTCTCCCAATTGGGTGGCTGATTTTGGCCTGTCCTTCCATGGACTTCGTGCAGCTGGATGTCCTGGTCCGTGGTGCTGTGGTTTGGTCTGGTGAGTTGGGCTTCCAGCTCCTAACAAGGCACTGCAAAGCCAATACCCAGATTTTCCATCAACACGTTCTCACAGGCACCCTGGAAGGAGGAGATTCATTGTCTTCATTGATGCATGTGTGTGTTCTTAAGGAAATATTCTGTAGGCACAGCTGTGGCTGGGACTGGTGAGTTCACAGAACTCACAGGAAAACCTCAGTGACACAGACAGGACCTGTGCACCCCGGCAGATTGGGGAGGGGGCTGCCAGGAGTTTTCTTCCTCGGTGCACTTTGCTTTTATTCACTGCAGATAAAAGTGGGCACTGTTTCACCTCTCCAGAAGCTTCCCTCTGCTCTAACCATGGAATTTTCCCCATCTTCTGTTGTATTTTCTGACTTCTAGCATCTGCCAGATCCAGCTGGGAGCTGCCCTGCTGGTAATCAGCATCCCCCCGGACGCGCTCCTCCCTGCCTGACTCAGTTGGGCCTGGCGCTTCAGCACAGCCCTTCCCAGCAGAGCAGAAATTGCTCTTTCTGCCCTGTCTGTCTAAAGCTTCCCCTCCCAACCCTCCCAGCAGCTGAGTCACTTCCTTCTTTCAAATCTGGCCTTAAATCTTCCTTTTCTCTGTAGCCTGTGATTCACTCCTTTGTGAGGTGCTTTGCAGAGCTCCGACAGGAGGATGCAGAACAGTGAGATGCTCCTGAGGTGAGACGCCCTTCTTGTCTCAGCCATAGCAGTGAGCCCCTCTCTGAGGGCTGGACCCTGTGCCTGATAAATGGTGCCTCTCAGTATGAGAGTTTCTCTTATCTTGGAGCTTCTTTCAGTGCTATATCTGACGTAGTAACAGGAGCCAGCTCCTGCCTGCGGCGAGTGCGTGTAATTTCCTTTGACATCAGCATGTGCCTGTGAGGGAACAGCTCTACCCCTTCCCACCCTGTTTGATTAGATTCAGTAAGAGAGTCATTACAGCATCTCTGCCACTCCTCCTTGCCACTCGTGGGATTTAAGGAGGACTTCTGAAATGTGCTCAGAGCAAGGAAATTTTTGATTTCTGCTTCTAAAGCCTGGAGATATTTTTAATATAACAAGTACACTCCTCAAATTTTTATGCTATGATTTTTTGTTGGCCCTCACCAACTTATTTCCTTGGCCTTTGACCCTCTTATGTCTAAGTGTTTTGCCATTTCACAGTTTCCTGGTGTGGAGAGATTCATCAACCAACAGGGTAGTTAAAAGATGCCATCAGGAATTAGCAGTGTGGCACTTTTTGAACTTGTCTAGACTTGCTCCGGTTATCAGCAAAGTGTGGGATAAAATTTGGCAAAGCTTTTAAATCTTGCTTTCATCTGGGATTTAGGTAGTTAAGCATTAAATACATTTCACTACCCTTGCATCTTAGGCATAAAAATAGTCAAGGTGCTTAGGAAAGCATCCTATGTGTGCCTTGACCCCAGAGTTGTGGCAGAAAGGGGTAAGGCCAGGGACCAGACCTGGTTCTGTGAGGGTCTGGTGGCTTCCACAGCACAGTGGTGCCCATACTGGTGCTAGAGGTGTAAGAGCACGTTAATAAAACATTTAGGATTAATGAGGGCTGGCTCTGGTGCCTCAGTCACTCTGTTTGTAAGACTGCTGCACTTCAAAACTTGTGTAGACTGTGTGGCTGCATCTCTTTATAGCTTGGGTTTTCTGAGATGTGACCAGTGACCATTTTCTAAAGAGCAAAATAAAAGTCATTTTCCAGTACAGCAAATCTGCAAATAAAATGAACTCATTGTTGAAAAGGAACTTTGTTTTTGCAGAGGGGACTGGGCTATGGAATTTTTAGGCAAAGAAGACTCGTCATCCAAGGAGAAGACTTCTTCATTTAAAATTATTTGCAGGAGACGTAGCAATCAAGTAAATGAGAACTGCAGTTTCTAACAAATGCTAATAATCGTAAGCTCTTACTTTAATAAAGCTTCAGCAATCACATTTTTCACCTTCAAAACAGGCAGCCGTTCAGAGCAACGTAACATATCCTTTGCATACTGATTTTATGTTGTATATATTTGTTTTCTTTTGTGTAGAACGAGGTGATCAGCCAGCAGCTCTCTGTCATTTTCACTCATTGCTATGGACCCTACCCAATTCCAAAGCTCGTGGAAATTAAGCGCAAGCAGACCTCTCGCCTGGGTGAGTGTCACTGCACGATCGCGCCGGCTCTCCAGGGGGAGAGAACCCTTCTCTCGGGGAAGGCTGATGCTGGCTGGGTGCTTGAGCGGGCCACAAGTCAGAAAAATCTCAGTTTGAAAGACAGAATTAGAGGAAAGAAGGGCCCCAAACTTAACCTGACCTAAAACTCCCACTGACATCAGGAGGGTCATCAGGTGTGCTGGAGTGGGGCCGTAAATCTGCAAATTTGTCTGTGTTGCTGATTAGCTGGGATCCAAGCCTTGGCTCTGGAGCCAGGAGTCTGTCTGGATCTCCAACCACCCTGGCTGGCTGCAGGTGATGCTGCAACAGCACAGCTTTCCCAGCTTGGTCAGCAGAGCCCAGGGTGTTCTCAGGGGACTGAGAGAAGACTCAAACAGTTTTCCAGGACCCTCTTCCCCTTGACAGAGACTTCCTCACACAGGAAGTGGCCTGATAGAGTACAAATGAGCACAGGGCCCCCCAGCATCTGCTGAGCTGCAGTTTGCTCTGGGTAGCAGAGCTGGAGGCTGTGCCAGTGTCACACAGCAGGGACAGCTGGCTGTTGTTTCAGCAAAGGTTCTCATGGACTTCAGAGCTTTGAATTCTCTTTGTCTGAACTCAGTGTGGTCTCAGGCTGTCCAAAATAGCTTTATGGGCCCTACTCACTAAAAACAATATCCTTCTATGCTGTTGCTTTCTTTGTCAAAACAGGGGGAAATATTCATTACATTCCTGACCTCTTCCAAATTAAAGTTACTGACTTCTTTGTTTCCTTCTTTTTGTGATTCTAGATCCCCATTTTCTTAACAATAAAGAAATGTCAGACGTCACATTTCTGGTGGAAGGAAGACCATTTTATGCACATCGAGTGTTGCTGTTTACTGCATCACCAAGGTACAATAGATACAGCTCTGGTTTTTAACAAAAATAGAATTTGATTTTGTGGGGTTTTGGGGTTTTTTTTGTTTTGTTGTTTAAGTTCTTTGAGGGCTAGTGGCCCGATCTTTAAGTTTTTCTTAATCAGAATATCCCCATAGCTTGCTTCTGGTTGATCTTCCAGATATTTAACAAGTGTTCCCATCAATAGGTTTTCATCCAGTGAATGATCCATGCTTCTGGCCATATATCTGACTTCATTCCAATGAGGCACACTGGCTTGGTGCTCATTACTGCACCCAGTTCTTGGCTGTACAGGAGTCGTGATGTTTTGATTCTTAATAATTAATCTTGTGAGTGGTTAAATCCTGCCTTGCATCAGTTTCAGCAGTCTCCAGGAAAAGCAAGCTACTATCACACAATTCTTGACAGCATTTGACAACTTTAAAATGAAATTAAATAGCTGTGGAACATACCATACTGTATCCAAAGGCAGTATTTATAGGCTGTTTCCTGTGCTCAGAAGGCTGAATGTGGGTTACCCAGCTCAACCCAATCCAAGAGTTGCTCACAAGTGTTATTTGTATGCAGCTGTATAATTCACGGTGTGTTTTTAAACAAATCGTGCTGGTCCTCCATACCAGCTCTTTTTTGAGAAGTGGCAAGGACAGAGCTCTGAGTTTGGATAATTTAAGTGATACCAGAATTGATGCTAGTCGTGCTGCCAAACCACAGCACAGAGTAAAGAAATTTGCATAAAGTAACTGCAGTACCTGACCCTGCCTTCAACTAAGAAATGCATATTGGTGTTCAGAGCTTCTTGGTAGGTGTACAAATACATTCCAAACTTCAGCTTTGAGCCTACTAAATTGTGTTCATAATAGAGTTTGGCACTAATGAAAGCAAGTAAATTGTTATCTGTATTTTAATTAACAAGAAGCAATCATGAGATGGAAAAGGTTACCATCCAGCAAATGCTGGTCTTGGTAGATAAACTGAGCTCTGAACCACTGCTGGAAGGTCACATGAATTGTCAAAGAGAGGAAGTACAAGGGTAGGTGTTTCTGGCAGCACATTTCCCATTTTCACCTTCTGATCAATGGGAATACCTGCTTTTGAGAAGTAGATTGTTACATAGGTATATAGCTCACATAAGTTTGCCATTATTAACTAAAAATATGTGGGGTTTTTGTCCTGAAACTTGTGTCTGAATTTTGGGTTTTGATAATCAGAGAACAGCAGCATATCCAGTTTTCTCTCCTGCCTCTTCTTACACAATTGTACTGAGCGTGCACAGGAGCATGAAAAATCTTAATGTCTTTCTTTTAATGTTTTGTTCCAAAACATTTTTTAAACCAGCATAATGGACATAAGCCAATATCTATCACCCTCAAAAAAGGAAAAGTTTCAGGTTTTAAATGTTGCAGATCTTCATAAAAGATCATGCTGCCTTCAAGAAAAAAAATGTAACTCTGTAATATGTGTTATTACAGAATCTGAGTTTTGGATGTACATTTTATTCTATTGTTATATTAGATGTATTTTTCAAAAAATTTCAAATTTAAATCTTACAGAAAGAGGCTTCTTCCTTTTGGTTTGAACTTTATGTTGGTGTCTAAATCTTGATGCTTTTTGGTGACAAATACGTTCATTTCAGTATGCTGTTTTTGCAAGAGTCGATGCTGTCATTCCACTGCACTTCTGTACTGTTTTTACTGTATTTTTCCACAGAGATAATTGGGCTGGTATTTCAAGTTTGCTCCTTTTTATTTAGGTTTAAAGCATTGCTGTCTAGCAAGCCCTCATCTGATAGTACTTGTATTGAGATCAACTACGTGAAGTATCCCATCTTTCAGGTACAGTCCTCACGCTGAATTTGAATGGAACTTGTAAGAGGAACACCATGCATGCCCTGTCCAAATTAGTACCTATGTATTTGATAAACCAGAGCAGTGATTTCACAAGCACAGGCTTCATCTCTGTTCAAGCACTGCAGAATGCTATTGATTGCAAATGTGCTCCAGCAGATACAGCACCGTGCATTTCACTGACATGGGTTGTGCACTCAAAGCACTGCCTGTCAGCATAAGGCATTTCTTACTGTAGTTGGCTCTTTCTGTATTTAATGGACAGGTTTGGAAGAGACACACTTCATTCCCTTACTTAGCAGTGCTCTCCAATCAATTTTGTGCCATGAAAAGGCAGAGCTTGCTCTCTGTACCTGCAACATGTACATGGATATGCTTCCCTTGCTTTGAGCTGGAGCTCAGGCAGTTCCATGTATTGACTGTTACTGCTGCTCATAATTCCTAGCTGCCCACAATAACCAGGCTCCCCGCAGGGGGATCTCAGCTGGTTTGTATTAAAGTGCAAAGCCTCCTCCACCTCTTTCTTATCTTCTGTGCATGCCCACACCCAGCTGAATGATGGTGGCCTTTGCCAGAGAAGGAATAAGGGAATAACCATTATATATGCTGTGTTTGCCAGAATTAGTGATGTATTTAACAGACTGGTAAATACACTGAAAAGTCAAAATGAGTTAATCAGTTTCCTGCAAACTGTTTGGAGCTCACCGGGAAATCCAGACAATTTGAGGGTGATGGTTGAGACATTAGACTACCTGTGAGAAGAAAACACTGAACTTTGCAGAGAGAGAGAATAACCAAGTATATCTTTGAAATCAGGAGGCTTGAGCCATTTTTACCTACAAATCCATGATGATGTTAGGAGAGCCTTGGGTATTGGCTGCATTGTCCCCTGTTCCTCTATGTCTTCGATTGGTTTTTATAAACACTCTTTTGTTTTATTACAGCTGGTTATGCAGTATCTTTATTATGGAGGTGCAGAGTCACTCCTGATTAAAAATAATGAAATTATGGAGGTAAGAAACATTTTTTAATTGCAGTGGGAGTGATGCTGACTGATCTGTGTAACATTCACCCAAGGGCACATGGCCATTGAGCAAGACCTGAGACCTGTAAGAGCCAGCAGTGCCTCACCTGGAGTGCCCAGGCTCTCTGCAGTCCTGCAGGACACTGGGAGACTTTGCAAATACCTACTCAGAGGCAAAGCTGGTGTTACCAAAATCTAGAACCAATTTCCAGCAACTTAGTGTTCCATCCTCCCTATCTCAGCAGCATTAAAAACATCCAATTTGGTTCCTCACATGGGAGAAGTCTTGGTCATGTGCTGGGCTTTAACCATGAGAGAAGTCCACTGGAGACACAGTTCAGTTCAATTTCAAGCACGTGACTCTTAAATTTTATTAATGAAACCATAATCTGCTCCCTGAGATACAGAGACTTCTTTGCCCCTTTCTCACTGGATGTAAAACATCCAGGTGCTGTTGTGGTCTTTTGCAAAAGCCAAGCCAAGCCAGCTGGAGCTGACTGAACCTTCACACAGCCACAGCCACCAGCCATGCAACCACAACCTTATGGATGTTAAGTAATTCCCTTCCAAATAGTGTGTGCCATCATTGTCAGCTATGATCAGCAAAACCACTCCAGCTATACAGAACTAAGATATATTGAGCAAATTCTTGATAGTCATTCTGGGAGTTTTCAGGCAGCCAAAAAGAATGCAGGTCAGTAAATACTAAATTAAGAGCTACTTAAACAGCAGGTAGTCATCAGTGTCTGCCACCACGATCACAGAATATCTCAAGTTGGAAGAGACCCATAAGGATCATCAAGTCCAACTCCCTGCTCCTTGCAGGACTAAACCACATCACCCAGAGTGTTGTGCAGATGTGCCTTGAACTCTGGCAGGTTTGGTGCCATGAGTGCTTCCCTGGGGAGCCTGTTCAGTGACTGACCACCCTTTCAGTGGAGAACCTGTTCCCTATGGCCAGTCTGCACTTGCCCTGGTGCAGCTACTTTCCTTTTCTTCGTGTCCTGTTGCTGTTCCTGTATTATTCTGTTCCTATAACTCTACAGTCTGGCAGCCAGAGGATGGAACTGCTCAGGACTGAAATTACCCCTCCCTAGTGCAGGCAGTGGATTTTTAAGTAAGCATACCCACATTGGCTTCCTGAGCTGTATAGGAAAAGTTCCCTAATTCTCTGTTTCACTCAAAGTTTTGAAAGACTTCTTGAATTTCTAACCCTTTTTGAAATAGAGAATTTTAGACTAGGCAGTGCAGTGGCTTTATAGAGATGTGTGTTTTATCACCTAGGCTGTTAAAAAACTTGTGCTGCATTTCAGCTGGCAGCTTGCTCTACTTTTGTGACATCTCAAAACTTCTGAGACTCCAGAATGTAGGACTGATTGATTGATCTCTTGATAACAGATCTGGCCATGGTTCCTCACAGTTTAAAGTAATTACAAACTAGCACATGACTGCTTGAGCCACAGAGGCAGCTGGAATAGAATTTGGCTTTATCTATCAAAACTGCATTTAGTAACTTGACTTATTACAAATATGATAACAAGAAGCACCAGAAATACTCCACAGAAATCTTTGCTGCAATTCATAATTAGGGCCAGCTGGCTGCTATCACATCAGCTCTGCAGATTTCCAGCACTTGGATTTATTTATGGGATTAAAGTAGATCTTGAGCAGACTGCATAGGAGAAGTCAGAATAATGTCGTGGAAGTTTCAGGGTTTTGTTTGTTCCCCAGTGCAGCATGAGAGCCCCTTTGGGATGCACAGGTTAGCTTTTTGTTATGAGTCACAAATAATAAGGGCTGTGTAAAAGCCTGAATACCTGAATAAGTGCTATTTAAACACGTGAACAGCTTTGCCTAAGGTCTGGCTGGGTTACAGAAAGGTATCAAGCAATGAAGAACTCCAACCTGCTTTCAGAGCAGAGAGCCAGAGACAATGGCCTACCATGGAAAGACAGAAAATTAAATTACTTCCCTGTAAAAGGACAGAAAAAAGGCAATAGAGGAAGTATTAACACTGCTGAAATTGGTTGGAGAACTCAAAATTCAAGCTATTTTCACCCCACAGGCATGCAGAGATGCCAAGGCAGTGCCAGGGTAGGCAGTGTAGCCACAGGGGAGATGCAGGGCCAAAGAGGGAGGTCAGTGCTGGTGTCAGAAGAGCTGGTAGAGCAGTGACAGACACATGACACTCCCATGGATGCTGGCTAGGCATTGCCTCACAAAGCTGGTTCCCACCTCTGTGCACTTGTTCCTTGGAGTAATGTGGACCCCAGACAGTGTTTCAGTGTTCCCCTGACAGCTGCTCACAAGCTAGGACAAGGAGCATATGGAGATCTGATTCCATTCTCTTGAGCCTGCTGGGGTGGCAGATTTGAGGTTTATTGCCTCTCTTGATTCAGACTGCCCAGGATGATCATCACCATTTGGTTTTAATTCCTCTGTACTCTTGATGTACTCTTGTACTTTCTGATGACTTCCTCACATCCAGGCCAGGTGCTCTGTTTCAATAAGATCTTGGGGAACAGTTGACCCCGAACTTTGGTTTTTGGGGATGTATTTGCAGGTCTTTTATTGCAGTCGTGTTTGCAAAGTGACAAAAGTGACAAAATATTCTTCAATATTCTTCTGCTGTTTCCTTTTTCTCCTTGTCCCATTCTAAAATCAGCATATGGACCTGAGCAGCCTTTGGTGTTCTCTCTGTGTATAGATTCTCATTGTGTGATTTAGAAGGGACTGCAGAGGGTTAAAACAACCAAGCAATCTTCTCATTCTGACTTTTTGTCAGTACTTTCATGCTAACTGAAGAAGGAGCAAGAAAAAAAATATAATGAAACAGTAAAGAAGCAAGCTCTGATTCTGTATCACTCAGCAGTTTTTGACTATTTTTTCCCATGCCTTTTGTTTTTTTTTTTTTTTAGCTTCTCTCTGCTGCTAAATTTTTCCAGCTTGAAGCTTTACAACGACACTGTGAGATCATTTGTGCAAAAAGCATTAATACAGAAAACTGTGTGGATATTTATAATCATGCCAAGGTAAAAATAACTGCATATGCTTGCATGTTGTGTGTCTGCCGTCATTCCTGTAGGCCAGTTTTGTAATAAGTAGTTATATATATATATGTGTGTGTGTGTGTGTGTATCTCATATCCTTGGTACATTTGTTGCACATTTAAGATTTCTCATTCATTTACTGGGACTGGCTGATTAATAGGTAACTGGTATAGTGACAATCCAAAATTAGGTAGTCTAAGTCCAAGGTGGCAGCTTCTCAACCCCTTCCCTGAGCAGGTCAAACTCAATTTGAGTGTACCAATATATGGGAGATCTATCCCTTATTCATGACAACACAAACTGCTGAGCTGATTCTACAGGAATCACTAAATGAAGTAGGCATCTCTGCTTTCACCTTCCAAGATACTTTTTCCATTTCCATTATCTGTTTCTTCCTGCCTGAAGCCCAGTGGGGTGATACACTCAATGCTGGTGACACCTTGTCAATACATAAAAATGCCACATTGTGGAAGTGCAATGGCTCAGAACCCTGCAAGGATGGTAATGAGAATTTTATGTCTTGGAGAGTATCTTATTGGAATCAAATTATATACTTAGCTTGTGAGGTTGCCTAAGTCATTAGACACAAAAACATGGCATATCTTGTCCTAGAAAACCTATTTTCACACATTGGTGGAGGTAGTTACCACATTGATTGGTTTCAGTTTTTTCCCTCCTCGTGGAGTAGTTAGATTTTCACTTGGAAGATGGAAATAGTGCACAAATAAGTGCAGTGAAATATTCTTCAAGCATTTCTTAAGAGATTTTTTTTTCTCTAACTTGCATGGTCTATACAAAAGATAAAACTGATGCATTGTAACATGGAGGTTTGATTGAACAGAGTAATCCTGCAGATTGCTCCAAACCCCTGCAGATCTGACCTTCATTCCCATCATCAGGTATTTCCTACAGAGAACAGTAATGCTGGGTCTTCATGTACAGATAACATGCAATCAATGTTTGAAATAGCACAAGGCACAAAGATCTACCTATAAAAATAAGCAATGAGGCGTATCTGTAGGTCCATTTAATGTAAGAGGAAAAATATTACAGTGCAGGAATCGTTTGAAAAATATTTGATTTGTCTCGTAGCTCATGTGCAAACTTCTCAATTTGTATTGCTGTCAGTAAAAACAATAATTTTGCTTTGAAATCATGTTTTCTTTGAATTGTGAAATGGGGCTGTTATTTACATCCTGATTGAAGAAAATTCTTACATGCTGGGACTTAACAAACCCAGTAGCTAAATCCACTGGTGTGCCTGTAAGAGCCCCAACCTGCAAGTTATTTTGGCCTGCACCTCCCAATGGAAGCCGTGGAAATGGGGTACCTGGGTGGGTTTTACAGCCAGAATCATGTTGGCACTGCTGTGGGTAGGGCACTGCAGCAATAGCCAGCCTGTCTGTGCCTGAATCTTTGACTTCTGGAATTATTTGGGTTGGAGGACCCTTAAAGATCATCTAGTTAGAACCATAGTCAGGGACACCTTTCTTGATCTTGCTGCTTTGCGAGCTCATCTGCACCTGCAGGACCTCCGTGACTTTTCCAGAGGGGGAGGTGTGAGCACGTTGGCCCAGAGATGAGTGGAGCACACACAGCCTTTGTCATCCAGGATTGAGAGAGTTTGGTGGATGGTCCCTTGCAGGGCCAGGAGTTGGACTCAGTGATCCTTGTGGGTCCCTTCCAACTCAGCGTGTTCTGTGATTCTGTAATGTGGATTTGGTCATATTTACAAATAAATGCTGACTGGAGAGTACTGGTATCATTAATATCCCTATGGTCATTTCATTCTTAAAACTGCAATCACAGAACTGTAGAATACCAGCTTGGGAGGACCATCTGGTCCAACCTTTCTTTGCAAAAATACAGTCTAGACAAGATGGCCCAGCACCCTGTCCAGCTGGATCCTAAAGTGTCCAATGCTGGGAAATCCACTTCTGCCCTGGGGAGATTTTTTCCAATGGTTGATTATTTCCATTTCTCCTCAAAGCATGAAATTTTGCACGACAGCTTTCTGCAGTCATATATCCCATCCTTGCTAAGGATGGCATTCTTGAAACGTGGTCTGTAATGTTTTCCCAAACCTGTAGTTTTAGGGTGTAACTTCTAGCATGAAGTCATGGGTCTGGTAAACTCTGTGGTAAAACTTCCATCAATTTCCAAGGGAGAAAAGTTTCAGCCTGTGGAATTTTGTTTCCCCAACAGACAGGGTCTTTTAACATGGAATTGTTACGAGTATCATCAGCATAATACACTGTTTTATTAACTCCTTCCTCTCCATGCATTTATACCTGTAAGTAAGAACATTTTAGACTGTGCCTGTCTAAAAGGCTTAGCTTGTGTATTTGTTTGTGTGCAACTCTATGCACTGTATTTGCTGCCTGGGTTTTATCAGAATGCTTATCTTTCTCTAATTTCACTTCTTGTAGTTCCTCGGTGTCACAGAACTATCTGCCTATTGTGAAGGCTACTTTCTAAAAAACATGATGGTCCTCATTGAAAATGAAGCTTTCAAACAGTTGTTGTATGACAAAAATGGAGAAACATCTGGTCAGAGTGTACTAGAGGACTTACAGAGGACGTTGGCCACAAGGATTCAGTCAATTCATTTGTCTTCTTCAAAGGGCTCCATTGTGTAAAGCTGAGGAAGATGGTAACCCTCTAATCAAAGACCCTGCAAGTTAAGTCTGCTGTTGCAGTTCCTCCAGCCTGTTGCAGTTGCTGAAATGACTACAAAAAAAGAAAATGTAAAAAATTCTACGTCGCATCCAAACAGTTCTGTTCCGGCCAAAGGTGCTGCGATGGGGCTGTGTCCCCACTGGATTAGAGAATACAGAAAGTTCCTCCTGCTTTTGAGCAAGCTGGGTACCAGGGTGTCTGGTGAATTGCCCTTGTACTCACATTCTAATCACGAGCCTTTCTTGGAGCTTGATGCCAACAAAAACCAGAACTCACATCAGTGAACAGCAGAAGTCCCTGCCTGAAGGGTAGTGCTGGGGAACACCTGAATTGACCAATTAATCATTTAAGTCAGATTTGTTCCAGTGTTACACAGTTAAGAACTATATGTATCCCAGAGTCCATTATCTCGTGCATTTAAGAAATGTAAGAACTGATATTGCTGTCCAGCAAAGATCAGCTGTATTTAGAGAGTGGGTAAGACTGTTACAGTTGAGGAAATATACTGGCAGATTTTTAGGGGTGGGAACTTTTTAAACTGTTCATAAAAAATAATGGGGTGGCCTTGTAGTTTAAAACCTATTTCTTAAGCTTAAAATTTCATTTTCAACAGAGCTGTGTTTGAGAATCTATGTAACATGTTTTGGTTTTTTAAATGGTAAAATGTACATTGTGTAAACACACATATGATCAAGTTTTGCTTGTATTCTTTCCTAGGGTGGTATAATCTTGCCTAAAAGGCTATGGTTACACCAAAGAGGCACATTACCCCACCTGTCTCTAGTACAGTAGTTGCGGGGGGGGCAGGAGAACTGCATGCTACTTGTGATTTGGGGTTGAAATCAATGACAAACTCAACAAACATGCATTTGCATGATAACTGTACCTGTGAAATGTTCCGTCCGTGCTTCGTTTCGCCTAGACAAATGCAATGTTACTTCTTGTCAAACTTCATTTGTGAAATTAGCTTATTTTTTATCTGGTGTGACTGGCTGCAATATGATACCCCTTGGAGCTCCTTCTCGAGATGCTGATTGCTGTTTGTTGCAGTGAAGAAATAACAACAGATCTTTACTTTAGTGATGTGTGGATATTTTGCTACTGGCCAGAGATTGTGTCTGAGCTAGACTTTTTAAAATGATAATTAAATATGTACTGTAGAATGATTTCTCACTGTATCCTGAGAATGTATAGGTAATCTACAAATGCAGGGCTTGGGTGGGGTGGGGTGGGGGGGTGATTTAAATGGCAAGTATCAGCTTTGTTTATTTTGCAGCATAATGTTATCAAGACAAAACTGCTATTTGCCACAACATTCCAGATGCCCTCTCTGAAAACCACAGTAAGAAGCAAGCAAAGATGTTTCCTTCTTCATGGCAAAGTGACATTAATCTATTTATTTTCTAGTGTGCCATTCTACGAAATTTAGAAGTTTGCATGTTAAACTTTTTCTTTTGTTGAAGCATCTGCATCAGGTGCCCTTCCATGTTCCAGCTTTTGATGTGCTCAGAGAACATAGTTTTGGCTTCAGCTGTCAACATAGTAGAAAGCTGTTTCATGACTCTGAGGTGTAAATCCTCCTTTCTGCTTGATCTTCTAAAGCCTCTACTGTTTCTGCAACAAATGACAAAATGTCTAAACTGCTACTAATGTTGCAGAGACACAGCATGTCAGTCAATTAGATCTTGTTTTCTGCATAGTATGTGTTCACACAAGATGTTGTCTGGAACTTGTAAGTAATGTCTACTTCTGAGTGAATGTTGTGATCACAGAAGCAACACCATAGTCAATACAACAGCAACACACAGGGGTTCTTGTTGCTTGGTGTGCCTTCTCATCCATGGAAACCCATCCTTCTATGACAAAAATAATTAGATAAGAGCAGGCCTCACCCTGCAGCCTCGTGTTTAAAATAGCAAAGTTTTTCAAACAATAATCATTATATTAAATGGGAAGGAAACACTTCCCATTTAATAAAGGTAACTCCAAGCTAGTCAGTCTCCTGAGTTGAGAGTGACTGTGGTAAAGTTCACAAGGTTTCTTTCAGCAATAAAGGGCTTTATAGGGCCTTTGGTGGGTGTACCTGCGGTGGTCACTGTGTTTGGGCACCCTGAGCTGTTACAGGAAGGGACTGCAGCTAAGGATTTATACAGGATAACTTTTGCCCTTGGAAGTGCTGGTAATCCAAACATCACAGATGTATAGCTGAAGGAAACCTTAAGAAAAAAGAGTCATAACTTTCAATTCTTTTTTGACCAGTGGTCCCCAGGATTTTTGCCAGCAGAAAAGCCAGCCAGTGTAAACCTGGAATTCATTTCTCCTGGAAGCAGCCAGCAAACCTTTGTGGATCCACAAACCAGAGTTTGGAAATGGTGATTTTAGTCTGCCTCTCCTGATGTGAGGCTGGGTGAGGTCCAGCTGAACTATGCCAGACAATGTGCAGCTTGCAGGCTCTTCAGGAATCCAGTCACAGGGATCCATGATCTTCACCACTCTCATAATCAGGAAATTTTCCAAAGAGACTTCAGAATTTCTTCATTGCAAATCAAGGCACTTTTCCTTTGAGTCCTGATTCACAGGAAAAACAGATGATCTTATGAGATCTTTTTAGAAAGTTATTCAATGTATGAAAGGAATTCTTCTCTTTGCATCACTAGTATAGTCTTTCCTAGTTCCTTTGTTAGTGTTTTCTGATCTTTGTTGTCATTCCCCTCATGGCTTCCTGTTTTTCCCAAATTTCCATACTTCAGCAGGAGTTTTGTACGTTAACAAGCAAAGCACAGAAACTGTTGCTGTGGTTTATGTAAAGCATATCAGAAAATATATCCCCTGATATTTTCTGCAAGAATATCCCATGGCTGGCTTTGATCCAGTCTGTCTTATAATTCCTGAGGGATTCACTGCTGCCTTCCCAGGAGTTCCATCTTTATTTATGCATTTGTTTACTACACCTTTCGAAGTATAGCCCTTTCAATTTCTCCTTATTAAATTTGTTCTGCTCTAATCAGGGCAATTTCCCCACTTCATCAAGATCAATTGCGATTCTGATAGTGTCTTCTAGCCTGTTTCATAATCTCCAACCTTTATTATATGTGGCTTCATGCATGGATTCTTCATTCCATTAATCTGGGGCTGGGGGGAAGGGCTCTTGTCAATTTAATATAAAAAGCAATGTGAGTGTCAGTGGGTGCCCATGAATACCATCCCTATCACATAAGGCTCTTTCCAACAGAGCATTTTATTAGCATTTTTTTCAGACATGGTGTTATCATCTTAGAAAATAAAAAGCTTTCTCTTCTTTGGTCTTTGTATGAGTTGCATTAATTTACAAATTTTGAGGCCAAATATTGCCTCCAGTCTTGGTAAAATGGAAAAAAGACAACATCCTTAGAGAAACTTAGGATTTTCTTTTTTTAATCATAATTTTCCAGCCTTTAATGAGTGAAGTTGCCTTTCCATCTGTCATTTTTACTAATCCAGTGCTGTAATATTTGGGAACTTACAGACATCCTGTCCCTGCCTCTTGACAGGTATTTCCTTATATCCCTACATGGTTCTCCCTTAGTTTCCAGAATTTCCTCACATTCCCACTTTGAATTCCTCACATTCCCACTTTGCTTCACGTGCTGCTAGTTTCCACACTTCCCAGTTTTTTTACTCTAGAGCCCTGCTGGATTCCTTCCCAAGCCCAGAAGTGGTATCTGTTTTGTCCTGAATAGTTGATTTTCCAATAATTGGCTCAAGAGCTGGGAAGAGAAAAGGATGGGGAATGTAGGAGGGCAAAGGTTTTGGACATCACAGGGGAAGGCTGGCATTCTTTTCATACAAATTTCAGCACTGTCTCTGATTTTCCCCTGATCTATTCCTCAGGTCTGCTGTCCTCTAAACACAGCTGGTGGCCAGATGCTCTGTGTTCTGGAACAGGGCCAGCTTTCTAATGGCTAAGACTATTTTTTCCCCAGCTAAAACTTCTGCCTGCTTGGTTTCAGCTCCAGAGTAGATTAGTAAAGAATGGCTATTAAAGACAGAGGAAACATCTTTAAAAAGGTGTGAAGGTTTAGTAGCCAGGCTCCTATTGGTACTAATGAGAGCTGCTTGCTCAATTCTGCATATGCTGCTTTGGATACTGAGCCTTTTTGCACTGAATATCCACTGGCTTCATGCCAAAATCCTGGATGGGCTGCACTGTGTGATGTGCTGGGGGCTTTCTTAAATTCTAGTTTTGTTTTAAAGCATAGCAGCATGTGCTACTCTTTAAAGGTTAAAAAGTAAAAGGGAAGTGGGTTGTTTGCACTGAAATGAACTGCTCTGAGGTGGTGCAGTGATGGAAAAGAAAAGGCATCTCTTCTTCCCAGCTGTACCTGCCTAAAATCAGAGGAGTCTTCTGTTATTATGGCATGGAATGACGTGAGGTCTGTGGGGACTCAGGCATACAGGACCCTGCTTAAATGGGGTTTTTTAAGGTTAATAGGTTCATATATTCAAGATGAGGATCAGGCCATCCTGGAAAAAGCAGCCATTCCTAGTGCTCTTGCTTATGGATTAAATCCTGGGAGAAGCTGGAATCTTGCAAAACTAATTGAAGTCAGTTGCACATATTCAGGGTCCTTTAGGAGCTGGCTTTGTCTTAAAAATACTGCTGAAAGATGACAACCTGAAACCTGCATTCACTAAAGTTGCCTCTGAAGCCACTGGTTTGGGTTTGGGGTTTTGTTGGTTGGTTGGTTAGTTTTGGTTGTGTTTTTTGTTCTTGGTTTGGGGTTTTTGGATTTGGGGTTTGTTTGTTTGTTTTGTGGGGTTTGTTTTTGTTTGTTTGTTTGTTTTCTGAATGAGATTTACCTAAAGCCAAAGTCTTCAAGTTAGTTGGTTTGACAAGGTGTCTTTCATGTGAGGCTTTGCAAGTGCTTTACAGAAATGAAGGGCCTAATGTTGCTTTCATCCTCTGGCACAGAGATGTTGAGATTTATAAGAATTAAAATAACTGCCTAGGATTTATCCTAAAATTTATTAAATAAGTTTGCAGGAAGTTACCCTTGAAATAACCCTCAGATAATATCTGAAACCCCATAGATGAGAACATTACTCATTTTAGATGTCAACCTGTAAGCAAACAAACTGCAGCACTTCCATACATTTATAGCAAAATTATTAGGTTAGTTTTTAACTTGTTACTTATTTTGAGGTAAGGCCTTTTATCTTCATTTCTGTGGGTGAAAACAGAAGCTGCCCACTCTGACCAGATTATCACATTTCAGTACAATTGCACCTGACCTGCTATTTGTAACTGGCCTTCAGCTGCAGAAAACAGCACAGCCAAGTCTTCAGCTGTGGCTCAGTGCTCCGTGGCTTCGGTGAGAGCACTGCTGAGAATATTGTGCATGTGGTGCCCAAAGCAGAAGGAAAATCTGGAAACCTGCAGAAAGACTAATGGGAGTTTGTCAGCTGCCTTCAGTGAGCCTTTCAGCTGGGGAAGCAAGCTCAGTGTGGGTAGGAGGAGGACATTCAGTTTCTTTTTGTTGTCATTAAGTTGTCATTCCTTCAGATCTGTCCAAGGCTTCTTGCATGGAACAGCTGTAAATGCCCTAGAGTGTGTTTATCTTGGATGCCTGTGCTTAAAATGTGGTATCTCACCACCTCAAAGTCAAGAGTCTCATTAGATGATGGGTTTTGTGCTTTGCTTGGACTGCTTGTCACTAAAACACCCAGGAGACAGCAATTTACAAGAGAGGTTGTGTTGGCTGGATAGGTTAATTCTACAGACACCTTGTGCTTTGCATAGTTAGTTGGCTAAATCGCTAAACAGCGACTTTGTTGTTTCTTTTTCCTTTGGAAAGGCATTTTTCACCTTTCTTTGGGCTGACAGTTTTGTTCTTTCATCCTGTAGAGGCAGTGATGCCATGTGAATGGGCATGCTTAGCTTAGGCACAGGTTTCTGTCCATGCTGGATGGCACATGAATGAAGAGGTCTTAGTAAGGGAGGAGGATTAGGTAAAATAATTTGAATGTATAAACTCAGATCTTTGCCTCTGATTCCAGAGGTATAGTGTTCACTGTTGGCTAATTCATTTGTTCCCCAAGTCAGAGTTTCCATGAAATCAAAGGGGAGAGCAGGAACAGGGGAAACAGCCCCATCTCGTGCCACTTGCTTGGCATTCTCAACCAGCCCAGTTGGCTCCAGTCTCTTCAGTGCTCACACAGAGGGTTTGCTTGGTCCCATGCTCACATATGGCCATGGAATTGAAGCAATTGGTGGCACTTTCTCGTCCTTACAAATATCTTCACTGCTGCTGCTGGTTAACTTTGGTCTTTCCACTCCCCATCATCTCTGCTGCTGTGTTATCATTAAAACTTCCATTATTCAGCTTTGCCCAGCACAGTGAGAGGTAATCTTATTTCTCACTGCCTTTCTAAAGCAAACAAAGATGGGGAAAAGCCTCGCTGAAATACCCAATTGAAAATAATTTATGACTTACAATGAGCCACAAAAGAAAAGGGAGATGCTCAGAAATAAAAAAAGAGACTGCCACTTTAGGAAAATCCAGTGTGTTAGGAGGTCATTTTAATTAATTAAGGTCAAAACGCTATTCTGGCAGGGACAGATTAACATGTTTCAAAGCATCTGGACTTGTTAAAGCTACAGGTTCAAGAGAGTCCAGCCCTTCCCCTTCCCAGCAGTGGATACACTGAATAACCTGCCGCTTCCTGCGTGAGAGGCTTTCAGATGAGCCTTTCCAAAGTCAGGTTCTCTCTGTTCTGCATACCTTTTGAAGGGCTCACAGCAAATGTGCAGGCTGGGAATTGCCCCTCAGCACAGTCAAAAGCCTCCTGTGCCCTAGTGCTGGTTGTGCCATACTGGGGCAGGAAGTAGGAAGGAGCACAGGAAGCCCCTGGAGCCTCATCATAGTGAAAACTCCTTCCCCGGCATCCAAGCAGTCTCTTGGTCAAATACCCTGCTTAACCCAGTCAGTTCAATACCTTGGGAACTGATTTTTGCCTTGCAGTTATTAAGCCAATGACTAATTGTGCCATTTGGGGATGCAGTAAAATGTGCAGTCTTACTTCAGTTGTGAGTTATGTTTTTACATTGTAGAATACATGGACTACAGGAATGTATCTCAGAGCTTTTTGACCCCATGTTCCTGGCTAAGTTCCAGTTAGTACTAGAAAAACATGAGCTATTTATGTCTCATCAGTGCATTTTGGCCAGTAGGTTGCTTCCTGTCCCTGTTTCTCTGGAGCCCTGCAGCTGTTGTGGAGCCATATGCACTGTGCCAGTGGGGAACAGAGGTGCCTGAGCATTATAGACACCAACCAAGTAAATCCCACTCTCTGCAGTGCAGGATATTCCTCTTTCTGATCTCTTGGGTGTTATGGGCAAGGTTGAATAATGGATCTCTGCTCTTTAATGCCCCAAGTTAGGTTCAGTGCTCTTCTTCCCCACTCTCTCTTGGCTCTGCCATCTACTACAGAGAGGAGGGAAAAGAAAAATCCACAGGAAAGACCCCATTCTCTCAACCTGCCCTCCCCACCCCTAGTACCAGGTGGGCTGCTAGAGCATCCTTCAGTCCCACTCCTCTGAAAGCTTCTTGTAATGCTATTTGAACATCATTTATGCTCAGAGCATGTTTTTCATTACGTCAAAGTCTGGAAAGTGTCTTAAGTCATTCATGGCAGAAGTGAGATTGTAAAACGTTGAAATTTGGGTTGGTTTTCTTTTGCTTTTTTTATTTGTTTGGTTTGATAATTTTTTCATTGGGAAGTAAAGATGAAGCATGTGCAATACTTTGGATTTTGTGTCTACAGTTATCATTGTGTGTATGTTCAAGAGAGAGAGATGGACATCAAATAGGTCTACGGGATATGTTATGAGGCGTGAAATCATGTTTGTAATGAGATTTCTTGTTAATGGCAGTCAGCCTTCCTTGAGTCTAAGCATTAATGCAATATCCATTAGTGCAGCTAAACCTCCCTCTGCTCTACTTTCCCAAACGGGTTTGACTTTGTACCTAGTTTAGCATTTATAAATATTTGATATAGGGTTCAAGGAGTAATTTACATGTTAAAAATATATGAATGTTCTATGAAAAAACCACAAGTTTCTACTGTAACTTCATTCACAAACCAAAACAAGAAAGCATGATGAAATTTGCTCCACTAAAATGGCTGGAAGCCTATTCATTGATTTCTCTAGTCTGTGGATTAGGTCTGTTTTCCATCTTTATTTCATACTGTGTCACCTTTGAAGTCTTTGCAGGCCAAATGCATATCTCTAATCAGAAAGCACAGTCTTGATCCTTAAATGGAAAATGATCCACTTCTGAAGCGCTTGTGCCTTTATCACTGAAAGCAAACCTAAATTAGGAAATCCTGGTGTGAGCATCCTGTAAATACAGAAAGAGCACTGTCTGTGGGCAGCTCTTTGCTTCATTTCTGCCTCTTCACATCCACTTCCACCTGTCCCTGAGATGTCTTGGAACTGGAAGCTAGGAAAGAAAAGTGAAAACAAGAGGAAAGGATGTGCCAGAAATAAGATGTGCCAGAACCATTGTGCTGATCTTGATTTTTTGCTGGTTTTAGGCAGACTCCTAATTTGTGTAATACTAACCTAGGAATTGCTATGATTGTTTTGCATTTGTTACGGTTGTTATGAATTTGGGTTTGGGGTTTTTTTCCTAGCTGAGTGGTTTTGTTTGCTGTCATCTTTTGTTGGGGTTTTTTGTGAAGGTTTCATTTCACTTTTTATTGAGAAGGAAATGAAAGATCACATAACCCAACAGCCATCATCAACAAACACAGAGATCCTGTCCTCCGTCCCACAGATGCGGCTTAAATACTGGTTTGTGGCTTCACAGGCATGTTTGAGGTCATCTATAATTAACAACACAGGTGAAACTTTCTTCCCCTTTGCTTACCCATTTACAGTGGATAAAAACAAAATAACAGAGTCAGAGTATGGACAATAGGATGGCAGATGTTTTTTCAATGGATAAAGATTATAGCTAAGAAATACAAATGTTTCTGGAACCAAATATTTTTTTCTCAAAAGGACAGACAAATGTGGCTCATTCAAATATGTCATTCTCTTGAGTGTGTTAGATGCTTTTGAAAATTGCCTGTTTTCTGCTGTTAATGATCCAGCACAAGCCCTTCCACTGGAGAGACTAATGGACGGCAGTCAGAACCAAGGCAGAAGGAAATGTATGAAAAATAGAGGAGCTCAGCCATAATTTGAGGTGGCGGCTTTGTTTGCTTTTGTCCACTGTGTCCACAACTTGAACATTATTTTAAAGGGCATATTTGTATTTAATTTCTTTTGAGCCTTTTTTTTAATTGCTGAAGCACTCTCACAGCATCTTCTCCAAGTGCACCTGAGGTCATCTTAAACACCGTTTAATGTCTGTCTGATGCTGATCCTTTTAAAATCTCCAATGAGATTATGATTCATTTGTTCTTGCTAGATGACAAATGAATTGTAACAGCCTTAACAAAAATCTTATTTTGTTAAGGCTGTATAAAGGTGCTGCAGCATGTGAAACCAGCAAGTTGATTTTTATTATTGCATTACTCTGAAAAAGAAAAAAAACCAACTAATGAGATCTTTGTTTCTAGTGTGAAAGGCTCCCCTTAGCTTGAGAGGACACGTGCAAAGCCTCTGCTGTGAATGCCTCGATATAATCAGCTTACAAAATGGAGGAAAATGGTATTACAGAAAGATTTCTGAGGGACATAACTCCAGTGGAGCAGAACATGCACTTGCTAAAGACTGCTCTCTTGCTCTCTCTCCTCAAGTCAGTGGGAATTTTTAATGGGAGTTACTGCAAGGCTGTATGGTTTTTTAATGCTCTAGCAGATGTAATTTCCCATCCAGTCATCTGCACACTTGTGGTTGGTACACCATAAAGGCTGAAGGCCAAATCCTGCTGTCACTGCACACAGCCCCTCTGCTTCATCAGTGATCATAAATATGTACTTATATTACTTGAGGTTTTTGCTGAAGGGAAATGGGAGAGGGCAGGCCTTCCTTCTGCTCCTTGATCACAGGCTTTGCATTCACAATGAGTTTTATTAGAAGTATCATATATTTACATGCTGCAGAATGAGGCCTGCGTGGGATGGGAAAGATCTTTATGATTTTAGACCTGCCTAAGAAAACAACTGTTCTAATTTTAGACAAGTTGCATTCCATATCCATCTGTTTAGTGCATCAGTCTGATGTTTACTGTTTAGTAAATTGCATTTGGGTTTTTTTTTTTTTTTTTTTCTTTTGAGGACATTGCCTGTCATCAGCCAGTGTAAAATAGCACCAAGGACTTCCAGACATACCCATAGGGCCAAACTGTGACAGCTTCACACACCACAGTCCCATCAAAAGCAAGGAAAGCTGGACTGGGCACATGAAATACAATCCCCCTGACATCGAATTACATGTCCTGCCTCATTTCATAGAGATGGATGACACCCTGGGAAAAAAAACCCAAAAAACACATGCTGCCACTTCATCCAAGTTTAAAATGTATTAAAATCAAGGAAATTATATTAGACATGGCTGTAGTCTATCAAATCCAGCCCTGTGTATAGGCAGAACTCCAAGGGAAAGTAACAGGAGTTTCCATTATGGAGTTTGCAGAAGGAAGCCTACATAATGAACTTGACAAAGTGTCAACTTTGTGTAAACTCTCCTGGTGGGTCTGTATAAAGGTTTTTTTTAAGAAATCTTCATTGGAACACACCAGAGAATAATAAACTTGCACCTTGATAGAATAGCTTTATTTGTATATACTCTATGTAAATTTTAAACCAGAGGAATACATGTCATGCCTTGTACATACCTGACTAGAATGGTAGCAGTGCTGTGCACTGCTTTTAGGGGATCCAGCTTCTCAGTCCTGGATTTCCAGCTGTAAAGGTTGCAGGAGACTGCTTGGGACCAGCTAAAGCATTGGATGGATAGATGCTCACCACTCACTGCTTAGAAATGCAGGAGCAGGATTTGGATCAGATGTTGGCTATGGAGAAGATTGCTTGCTTCTACTCTTGGCTAAGGGACAAGTGCCTCCTTTGCTGTGGTCTCCAACAGAAGTGATTTATGGTCAGAGTGTGGGAACCTTCAGAGCCCTGTTTGGTCTTTTAAAGGGGTCTGAGATTCGGGTGTCACATGGGAAGGTCCCTGAAGAAGCAGTGTGTACATACATCTACCTACCTGTCTGTCTGTTATCTAATATCCCACTGTTTCTGTATTGAATGGTCTCAGTAACCTGTAAACAAGTGATCACTCCTGTTGTGCTACTGCTTTGAAATTCTTTGCATGCACTCTGGCATATAATTCTTTACGAAAAGAAATTATACATATTATATATACATATATATATAGTAGCTTGCAAAATATTCATGTTGAAGAGCCATGTTTTGTGCAAATTGTACATTTATGTTGTGAGCAATATTGCAATACGAACTTTTATTAGTTGTCAATAGTAGATTTATCACATTATTTTTGAGCTTATGTACGTATCCCAAGTTTTCAGCCTCCGGCATTAGATCAGCTACTGAAGGAGACTTTTTCTTTGCAATAGAAATAGCACAGGCTTCCAGTAAATGGGCAGGTGTGCAAGTCCCATTCTGTTTAATGCAAGTTGCGAGGCTGATTCTTCATGCAGGTTGTCAGGCAAATATTCTCTTGTCCGTGCTGGAATTTGTGTTTGGTATTAGGACCCTGTTGTGGTCATCTAGAACAGAACTCAAACCCCAGCATTGCCAAACAAAGTGCTTGACTCCTACTGCTCTCTGTGTCCGCAGGTGCTCCGGTATAAACACGAGGAGGACTTAAGGAACTCCCAGTTGCCTGCTGGATAGCCAATGTTATATTTTCAAATGTTCATGCTACATAGTTTTCAATGTAGGGGCTAGATAAAAGTGTAATACCAGTATGGCTTTAGAAAAGCTACAGTGTTTGGAGCTTGACCTTGAAACTTTTACCTGATTCCTGAACATCATCGGTGGCTTTGTTTGCTCAATGTTTACCTCTTGGAAATGTATGCTATTGATTTAAATGTTTAATATATTGACTGCCATTTTTTGTATATTTGTTATCATAAAGGTTTGGTTCAAATGCTAACAATTGTGGTCTATTTTCAGACTTGAAATACTTATGGTTCTGTATTTGGAAGGCAAAGTTATTAATGAATATAGCAATTTGGTATTTTATTCCTGTTTTATACAGCTGCCCCCATAGGTTATTATCAGATAGCAATGAATATTGCTGAACAGCAGGTGGAACTCCTTTGAGTGTGTTTATGAGCCATCTCTGTTCAATAAAAATTCCATTGTTTTCTAGCCTAGGAAATGGCTGCTGTGAGTGTTTTTGTTGTCTCTTCTCCCCTTAAGGTGATTCTTGTTGTATTTCAGACAGCAGCAGGACTGGGCTTCTCCCAGGATCCATCTCCCAGAAACCACATGTTCAGGATCTTACATCTGGAAGTCCTGGTGCTGTTTTCCCACATACACTGCTATCAAGCATGCTTGCTGTGCACATGACGAAGTGATATGGAGCTGGTTCCCAAAAACCCTTCTCTAAGTGTTGGTCTGCCATAAGATGGGCACATAAGACCTGGGAATGGAGCTCCATGATGCTTAAAATTAAGCATCTGCAAGTGCATCATAGCGAGAGAGTTTGGATGCGGGAAGATCCAAAAGGCTGAAGTTTGCTCCATTATTATGCAGCATTACTGCAAGTGTGTACAAATAAGTTGGAAACGGGTATCTCAAAGGGAAGTCAGGTGTAAGCAGAGGGACTTGATTAACCTTGGTGTGAGTGTGAAAATCAGGTTTTAAAATTCTTTTTGGTTTTACGCTTTTACTCCTTAAATTAATTTCCAGTGTATTCTGTCTTGTATGTTTTAGTGGATTTCAAGTCAAGTTCTTTCTTCATGTTTAGAATCTTTCTCCAGATTTTTAAGGAACAGGTCAGTTCAGGAGGCAAAAGAGGGTGACATCCTTTCATGTCTTTTACATGAGACACCACTCACACCACACTGGGTCACCCAGTTTATACTGGGTGACTGCCCAGACCAGTGGTGGCTCTCTTGGGTGCCTTTAGGTTTTGCAAACACGGATGTCCAGGAGCAGACTTTGAAAAGCAGCTCATCGGGTACCCTGCAGCTATCCAAATTCTGCAAGAGATCTAGGCCCCCTCTTCCCTGCCTCCCCAGTAAGAAAAAAAAAAAAAAGTTTCCAGAAGAAAACAAAGCAAGCCTTAATATGTAGCAACTGGAATGATTTGTCTCACTTTCCCAGCTGTGGATACCCAAACAGTATACAACCATTCTTCTTGGGCATTTGAGGTAACACTTCACTGAGAAAAATAGCGAAGTTCAGCCAGAAATGTTCACACCATTCTTCTGGGTTCTTTGTAAACTTACCCATGTTTTTTCTACATTCCATTCCCAGTTGTGTTCTTGAGGTTTGATGTAGAGACTGAAGGCTGTGGCACATGTTCACTGGGCTAATGAAGGTTTAGGATATGCCTCTTAGGACTTGCCCACTGCCTCTTCCACGGGGCAGAAATGGACTTTCCCCTGCTACAAAGTGGATGTCTAAACCTCCCCTGCTACAAAGTGGAGCTGACCTAGAGGAGCCCAGTTTTGTCCTGAGGCTAAAGCACTGCCAGAAGTGCTTGATGTTGCTCTATTGATGGAATCAGCAGCAGAAACGTGTGTATAATGTAAAAGTCTTTGTGTGTCTCAGTTTGATTACGCAGAAGTAACATTTAAACCACTCAGAAATATTTTTTCCCAAATCTGCATAATGGTTTATACAGATATATTTCTAGGTGTGTGGTGGTATCAGCTAAATTTTTCTATGTTGACAGAGCCTTATATTTTAATAAACATTTCCTCAATGGCTTTTATTTTGTCCAACTAGTCTGTCATGGAAAACGTTCCAGAATAAGTGTGTGGGCTGGCTGTCTCTAAGCTTTGCTATGAAGATGTAAAACTGCAAAGTAAAGGGTGTCTGAGAACCTGTGCACATACCCTTACAGGCTGGGAGGGCACCATTCCCAGCACAACCCTGCAGCCTGGCTACCTTCCCAGGAGCTTATTAGCCCCTCGGCTCTACAAGCCAATGGCTTGTGTAAGACCTTGTAGTGTCCTCCTGTAGTAACAAGTACTTGAAGCATCCAGCACTGAGCAACACACTTAGACATGGAGGAAATAAAGATGTGACGCCTCTGAGACAAACACTGGCCCTATGTCCCCCATTGCTCCCATGGTGGTGGAGAGGTGCAAGCCCTCAGGAGTTTGGAGGTGTCCAAACTCCAGCTGACAGGAGTTGTTGCAGGGATGATGGGATTCTCATTCCCAAAGTCTCAAGCACACATTTTGGGGAAGCAGCTGCTCCACAAGCTTGCATCTCTGATAATGCAGTTACTGTGTCCCAGTAAGGTTTCAATGTCTTTCACATGTATCTGGTTCATTGAGATCACACTTATTAGATGTGCTAAAAGATAAGTGATAGACCTCATTTATTACATAAAGTTAAAGACTACCAAAAGAAATAAGTAAGATCTGGGAGAATAAGCCTTAGCACAAGGATATTTTATCTTTCAAAGTGAGGAGGTTTGTGCTCTCCCAGAGAACTCCTTAAGGAGATCCTGGATGAAAGAAAACCAAAGCAGTCTTGTTTTAACTGCCTGAAAACTTAACTTTCTGCCTAGCTATCAGTTCAAGAGTTCTTCCCCCCAGGCTATGCAGCAGTGTACAAACAGGGCATGTCATCTCCCTTGACATGATGCTGCCCTACTGAGAGCTGATACTTCTTTGGTTTCCTGCCACTATTCGTGCTCAGTCTTTCACAGACACATAGGGAATGCAAACAGAAAATCAAAAGGTAACCTTGAGGACTTAGATGGCCACCACTGGTGTCTCAAAGTCACTCTTATATACTTCTTTCTTTCTCTTTCTTTTCTTTCTTTCTTTTCTTTTTCTTTCTTTCTTCTTGTGATTATGTGACTGCTTTTAGCTGTTTAGCATTGCTGGGACTGCACCACTGGTATTTTGCAGATCATATAATAAAATAGAAAAAAATAATCTGAGATGCCAGTGTATTGATCACTTTCCCCTTTTTTCACCTGAAGAGGTCAGCTTAACCACAGCTGTAAACCTACAGCATAACTTCTGAAACACATAAAATCCCCTTTGTTTTCTTGCCTACAGCCTGTGTGATTTGCACAATGAATCTTTTCCTGGCCTTGTAGTACCTTCCAGCTGTCCTACTAGAGATGTTTAAAGTGTCTCTGGGAGTTTCATGACTCAAGGTATGTCAAGGTCGCTACAGAGCCTTGGACACTGGAGCTCTCTAAGGTTTTCAGTAGGTATTGGAGAGCCTGCTGGAACCAGCTACTTCAACATCACTTCATCAACCAGCTCTCCTCTCTTCCATCTGACTTCATGTGAAGAACAATACTCTTGAGTGCTCTCTGAGCACCTTGACATGACCCTAAATTAAACTGAACCCTCCCTTTCAAGGTGTCATTGCTTTTTTCCCACTGGTTCCCTTTCTTTACCTGGTATATCCACTCCAGAACAGAAGTTTGCTTTTATTCAGCACTTGCATCCTCGGGTGAAAAGCAGCAGGGATAGGTCAAATACAGATCCAGAAACAGGGATAATGTTTCAGTGCTTTTCGCTTCAGACAGGCAGAAGTTTCTGACACCAGAATCAGTGACTAAACTGAAAATGAAAATTGCTATTGTCAAGCCTTGCCTTCCTTTATGGATGTTCATGGGGATAAAAAGCATCTCAGCTCTCCTCATCAGAGGTTAAGAAATGGGTCTAAGAGATTCAGGCTCTGTCTGACCTCTGACTGGGGCCAGGGGAGTGGAGCTGAATCCTTTCAGGAGATCACTTTTAGGAAAGGCCCAAGGCCAGTCCAGAACAGGCTATGTCATGAAAATGTCTGATGACAATTCTTTTATTTCCACAGGATCTGAGCTTTGTCCTCACACTCTGGGACGGCCATTTAAGTCCTTGTCTGCTGTTGCACGTACCTTTCTTTCTTCATGGCCATTTTTTCCATCTAAAAATTCAGAGACTTCTGTCAGCTGTACAGCCTCATTCCCAGTTAGAATAGCTCTCGGGGCTTGTCCCATAATTCCTCCAGTGGTGGCAGAATTCCATCCAAATGAAGAAATTAACATCTGCTTTATTTGCTAATCTTCCCATCTCTGTGGCTGAGCCATCTTTGGACACTGGACACCAAGAATACCATTTTTTATTGGTGTGCTATGTCCCATAAGTCATCCTGGAGGATTCCTTGATGTGGCTGTTCTGGGCTGCATTAGATTTTGGTTCCATCTGCTGGGAGCTTCCTGCCTAAGGCACCACTCTTTCAGCCACATTTCTGTGACTACCAAGGCACTGTAGAACACTAATACCTTTAATAGAATGGTCTTTCTTTTGAAAACAAAACAAAACAAAACAAAACAAAACAAAACAAAACAAAACAAAACAAACAGTTGTACATCCCCAGAAAGTGTATGACAGAGAGAGGTATTGGAATCACACAGCATTTATAGACTGGGTCTCAGAAGAAAAATCATTACTACTAACAGCAGCCCTCTAAGCTATAATATCCATTGTGCACAATTGCTACCTATTTTCCTTCCTTCCTCCTTTTCCAGCTGTCTTTTCTTTGGTACTTCTGCTGTTGGGCCTCCCCACAGTGCACTTCTATCTTGTGATTATGTACACGGTGGGACAGAAGGCAGAGCTTGTGCGCCCCCTCTGAGTATGGCTTCAGTAAAAACAAGTCTGGTTCCACTTTGTTCTGCAAACCACCACACTGTAAATGAATACATCTGGAAAATAACCCCAAATATCCAGGAACCACAGCCACTGGAAGATAACCTGGCTTTCTTCCAATTGGCTGCCTAACACCCGTAACAGGGTGCCTGTCCTTTGAGAATAGCAGGCACTTTCACAAAAACTTCCCCTGGAATCTGGAGGAAGACTGAAGGTCTAACTGTGGCCGATTCATGCATGGGAGGACAAGAAGGATTTCTTGTTATTTTTGCTGTTAAGAGAAGATGGCCAGCAAAGCAAATACAGCCCAGCAAAAAGGCCAGCTTTGCATGCAAGCTCTCAGAAAAGTTTCTGTGACTGAGATCTGAACATCAAGACCTGAATCTGATGCTTAATTCGAATCATCCCAGTGAGCTGGACTCAATCATTAGTCATCTTTGCTTTATTCAGGAACAAACATACTCCAGGATATTCCTGTTCCTGTCAAAACAAGACTGTTTCCTACTGTCTGTTTGCACCTTGATTTACTTCAGCTGAAT